CGGTGAGTGTATATTACAATTATAGACCATCTATCCTACAGCATCACATGGGTTCAGTCACACTAGGTTGGTTTGGGTTCATTTTTAAGCAAAATAAAATCAACATTTGAAAACTTCTAGAGCACAAGTAAAAAAGACTGAGTCAATTTATTTCTAAAGTTAAAAGCATTTTTCTCAAAAATTGCTTTTTTGAGAAGCGACACATTTTTCCAAGTGTCGCTTCTGTTTTTTCTGGTCATGGATGTCATGCTGGTGTGCAATGGTCAAGCTCGCCATCCATGCATGGAGGCGTCAGTCCTTAGTTCAAGTCTCAGCTAGTTGACCTTTGCTGCATGTCCTCCCCTCTCTTTAAACCCAACCTCCCACCTGTCTACTCTTAAATAAAGTACTAGTGCCAAAAAAGAGCGATATTCTACAGGAGGCTTATCTAAGAGGATTTTTATTTATCTGAAATAAAGAAACTACTCTTAAAAATAGCTATAACAAGAGTAGTTTTAACTCTTTTTAGAGAGACCAAATGTTATCTATGCCTGAATAAAACTTTAATAAAAGTCACCTTTTTAATGTTTGACCGAACAAACAAGCGAAAAAAAAAAAAAACATTAGACAAAAGATATCTACATCTAAGCAGTCTATCCAACCAATTAAAAAATACCATCTCCTTGTCGTTGTCTGCCAGATAAAATCCCACTAAGTTACATTTGATGTTTGTTGTTATAATGTGACAAACTTTAAGGAATATACTCTTTTGTATGTATGCAGCCATTTTTAATTTATTTTTTTTTTAGAGCTGGAGGATTGCCAAACTAAGAAAAGGAATGCAATTGAAGCATAATTAGCATGATTGTTTTAAGAATAATCAGTACTTTTAGAAATAATGTGAATGTTTAACTCTTTAGCGTTTTTCATTTGTTTTGCAATGGAATGTGTTTAAAAGCAAAGATCCCTGAAGGGCGAATTGGTTGCTTCTTAACACATCAGGATGTGTTAAGGCAGGTACAGTCCCTGTCTCCCGTGTTTGGTTCTCTAAATGATGCATCAATTTTATTATGTTTCTAATACGGTAACAACATATTGTTTTTTATTCATTTTATAAAAAATGAAAACACCACCTGCTCATAATCCTCCCGGATGTGGTAATGTAGTCCTGACTGCATCCTCCACTCTCCCTGAGTGTGAATGCCAAATTTCACTTGTTGCTATGGTGAGCTGCAGCAAACCAGTGATGTGAGTCACAGACTAAATAGGCACTTGGATCATGGCCTCAAATGTCACCCTCTGACTCAAAGGGGTATCAATAGTGCTGCAGAATATAGAGAATAAGCAAACAGATTATCCAACCATATGTACTGTATTACTTTCTTTAAGATTTGCTATTGTAGGGCCTTGATTTTAATACAATTCAGAAAGAAAACTAGTTAAATACCATCTCTTTTAATGAGCTACCATCTAAATCATATGGAAAAATTTAGTCCATTGATTTGAAACTGCAGGAAGTACTGATGTTAGATTTTTGAAGTTAAATCTGTTAGTAAAAAGCTTAGGATCATGCAGTGACCATCGGGTTAATCTAGCTTCACTGGAGTTTATGTAATCACAGTCAATGATGCCAGAGTGTCCCATTTAGAGGAAGCTTAGGAAGGAATGATCTTATAAATGACCATTTGATTTTTTTTCTCCGGAATCATCTGTGATTTTCACCAGAGACAAGCATAATTTAAGTCTTTAATGCCTAAATATTGTTAAATGTTGAAATATATTAAAAATATTTAAGGTGGGATGCATCAGGGCCAAACAGAAAGCTGTAAATGAGTAATCAGATCTAAACTTACATTTTTTTATTACTTATTCAATTGTGTCTATTTTGATCTTACATTGCATGATAAAACCTAAAGTATAGGTGAAAAGTAATAATTCGCAATTATTAGTAGAAATACTTCTGAAGGGGGTACGCTATTTCAAACATTTTTATAATTCATCTTATGTAGTTGCATAAACTAACCAAAAAAAACAGTGCTTGGCTAAGACTAATAGAGATATTTGCACTTGTATGCACATGTGTAACTAATGTCAATTGTTTTGAAAACTGCTATGTATCTTTTAACTGATGCTTAGCAATACACGATAAATAGAGGTGCATAATATTAAAAAAACCTCATGCTAAGCCTCAATACTTAATACTGTTATAAATTGTATATTAAAAGAAACATTTCTAAGCAGCATATGAAGTAATAATGTCATACTAAGAGTCCAAATTGAAATTACTTTCATAGCTGTCCAAACTATTAATATGAAGGGTTAATTTACAAAAATAACAAAACTCTCCTTTGGTCTACAAATAAACTTTATTTCAGTCAAAAATAAAGCTCATAAATATAAGAATGTATTCTCTCAAAAAGAAATTTGGAAAAAAAAAAAAAAAAAAACTTTTAAAGCTCTTTCCCATACAGCATTCGTCTCTTATCATACCAACATGTTTTAACATGAAAAACGGTAAGTCTGTCACATTCACACATTGACATTTCAGATCGCTTAAGGGCAATAGTTGGGACACATTTTCCTTTGATTTCTTGGTATTCTTTGTTTTTGTGAGTCGTTGATGTGGGAGGACACATACAATGACCACAGATTATTAGAAACACAAATGATCACTGACCATGTCAGAAAATGTGTCAGCAAAGTGCTAACCCTGACATCCACATGTCACTGAAATGTTCTCATCTCAATTTATTCAACCAAAACAATGTACTGCGTTAAAAAGCTGGTTAATGTCATGACTTTAAACAAAAGTATTTTTCTTTTCTTTGTAAAAAACAAAAAAAAGTGTTTCTTTTCACATAGGTATTTCACAATAAGACACATTTGGTAGGAGGTTTATAGAAAATGCACTTAAAAAGAGGAACAAACAACATTTAAAAACACAAGACCCAAAATAAATACAAGAAATCTGAACAAGGAGCCCTGAAAGAGTTTCAGACAATATTAACATATTGCAAAGGGTTTAAAAGATGTGGTGCCAAACAAGAAAAAGAACTGCAACAGAATCATGAGAACAGATGCTTTCGGTTACCAAACATTAATGTTAAAACAGCCGTAAGTTATGAAATATAACAGAATACAGCCAAACAAAAAAATGTAATCACAAAACAGTGGATAACAATGTAAAAAGCAGTAGAAATAGCAAGAGATCCAGATATGACTAGAATTTGGTCATAAGAAACTCTTTTTGAACACACATCTAACTAACTGTATCATTTATATATTTCCTAAAAAGAAATAATAAGAACATACAGAAATAAAAACACTTCTAAAGTTGTGCTTATTTTTCTGAAACTCATGAGCTGCAAAACATGAACACATTTCTTAATACTAAATGCTAACTGCATCAAGTGGTTGTAGATACAAACACATTAAGCAATTTAAACCAATAATAATATTCATCGCTAGAAATAAAGTGATTTTTTTTTAATCATATGCAACACTACCAGTGTACCCATTCTTGATGTTTTCTCTTTCGCCTCTTTCAAAATAAAGTTTTTAAATTTACTTCAACCCATTCTCACTAGAAAAAGGAAACACGTGTGGTAAGGCAAATATTAAACTCATTTAGAGAACAACTCTAAAACTCCCAGTAGATATTTTAAATGCAGGATTAAGAACAATAGGATTCAAAGTCATGTAGAAGTACAATATGTTTAGCTTTTTTTTTTTTTTTTTTTAATAGAGACGCTTTAGTCATTAAAAAATGATAACAAGCATGGATCCCTGTAAAAAAAACAAAAAAAACTGTAAATATTACAGACAAGATTTTAAATCAGTGAAATTTCTTACTGCTGTAACAGCCCAAAAAAAACTAGCATATATCTTTTATGTTGGAAACAAAATCTAACAGTTGGGTAATTTCAGTGCAGGGTTCTTCTACAATGAGAAATAAACAAACATGAAAATGCCCAAAGAGCAGACGGTTAGTAGGACGAGGTTGAGGAGGAGTTTAACCCTGGGGGGCTCATATAGCAGCTCTGCGACCACTCGCTCGTCCTCTTGCATGACTTGCTGCTGATTGCCATGTGGTTCTTCTTTGTACCCACAGAGACAGCCGAAGAAACGCATGAACAGGCCGCGCTCCTCTTGTCCATGACAGCCTTGCTCTGCCCTGATCATGTCCATCTTTTTAAAACCTTGCTGCTCAGCAGGGGTGGAGGCGGGGGACGTTTCTGTGCTGGGTGTAGCTGGATCATGGTCCGTGTACGGGACCAAAAGCTTGATTTCGGCTCCATCTAAACACCTTTCCCTTTTGACATCAGCAGGAATATCTTTATAGTATCCTGCAGTGCCATTGCATTGGTTCTTCTCATTGAGTTTGTATGTTTCATCCCTGTTCTTCGGGGGAATCTTTTCTAGCTTGCGGAGCCCCCAAATTGTGGTGGTACGAATCTGCTCCTCATCTGGTGCGGCGGTACAAAGACTGACCACCACAGCAACCAGTCCCGAAATCCAGAAGAGTCCGGCTGCAATGTACATGTAGTGAATGTGGACAATGAAGAATGGTCTGTTGTCTGGCTGGTTGCAGAGAGGCTGACGGTAGAGGAAGGCTAGGATTAGTCGTATCGTACCTAGCGTGAAACCTGTCATGCCTCCCCAGAAGGCACCCGTCTCATTACACCTCTTCCAGAACACACCAAGCAGAAAAAGGGCAGCAATTGGTGGGGTGAGGTAGCCAGCGACTTCCTGGATATACAGGTATGTCTGTCCACCTTGCATCTCAATGATTACAGGGACCCAAGCGATGCTGATCGCTACCATGACCACAACAAACAGACGGCCGACGATCAGAAGCTCCCGCTGAGAAGCCCTCTTCCGAATAGTCTGGTAGATATCCAGGGTGAAGATAGTGCTTGCGCTGTTGAAGATTGAGTCGAGATCGCTCATCAAGGCAGCAATCATGACTGCCATCATAAGCCCCCTGAGTCCTGTGGGCATCACTGCCATGACCAGGCGCGGGTAGGCGATGTTTGAGCAGCCAGCCCGGGAACCACACACGGCCATGCAGTGCTCTGGCCCGATGCAGGCGATCTCGTCTGTAAACATGATGCGGGAGATCATTCCTGGAATGACTATCAAGAACATGGGCAGGATCTTGAGAAATCCGGCCATGAGTGTTGAGCCCTTAGCGTGAGCAATGTTCTTGGCTGCTAATACTCTCTGCACGATGACCTGGTCTGCACACCAGTACCAAATGGAGGCAGGGGTTTGCCCCAGAATGAAACCTGGCCAAGGAATATCCTCATCGAGAGGGCCACGAAGGATACGTAGTGAGTTTGGCTTTGGTTCAATACGACAGGAGGGGTAGTGGGTGTAGTTTCCGGAAGCCATTATAGCAGTGACATTAGGAGTGGCCTGCATATACTTAGTTCTGACCCCCTCTAGTCCACCAACTTTGATGAGGCTGATGATGGTTAAGGTCATGGCCCCACCAACCATCAGCACTGCCTGGAGGGCATCTGTGTAGAGCACTGCAACCAATCCACCAGTGACTGTTAGCAGAGCAGTCATGCTGATAAGCAAAAGAATTGAGAGATAGAGGTTCCACCCCAAGGACTCCTGAATAAATAGAGCGCCAGCGTAGAGATCCACTGAGAGCTTGGTGAATATGTAAAGCAACACAGACAGGCAGGCAAAGTAAACTTTCAGCCTGTTCCCACCGAAGCGTTTGGACAGGTAAGCTGGCATGGTGTAGACTCCAGAGTAGATATAGACAGGAATAAACACCCAGCCAAGCAGCTGCAGAAGCAGGAGGGCATTGAATTCCCAAGCTCCTACTGCAAAACCACTGGCTGCCCCTGATCCTGCCAGGCCTATGAAATGCTCACTGCCAATGTTACTGACAAACAGGGACGCCCCTATCACTATCCATGTCATGGAGCGCCCTGCAAGGAAATAGCCACTAACGGTGCTGTGGTTGGCTTTCCACATGGCGAGAAGCCCGATGACCATCACCAGGACAAAATACAGTGCCACCACTGCTATGTCCGCGGCTTCCATTCTAGCATGCATCTTTACAGATGAATTGCTATAAAGTTTGCAGAAGAATTGAATGTGCAAATTTATAAGCGTTATAGCTGAGATTAAAATATAGCAGCAATAGAAACAATTAGCTTTGGTTTTCAGATGAGATGATCCCCTGACAGCCCGGCCAAAAAAAAAAAAAAAAAAAAAACTAAATGAGGTAGTCCGTCGGAACAGAAACTTTTTTTGGTTGTGCAGGGTGTTGCAGGTCACTGGTCTAGAAAAGCCAAGGTTGAATATTCCTGAAAAAAAGCAAAAGAAAAAAAAAAAACACTCATCAGTATTTTGACTTTTGCATGGAAAAAAACGGAGAAAATTGCGATTTGAACCAACACTGAATGAAGGTCACCTCACAAAACAATAATAATAATTAGTAAGATAGAAGGAGAAATGGTGAAAATAAAAAAATAAAAAATGCACTTTAATAGGCTAGGATTAACTTCTGTAGTACTTTTCCAGTGCCATCTAGACTTGGAATTGATCTTTCCTGAGATTTCCCAGCTAATCTTTTCAAATACAGCTGAACTCGAGCCATGCTAGTATTCAAACTTGAAAGAAAGATTATGTAAGACGGGTCAAGAAGGCGCAAACGTCTGTTGGCAACAGCTACACTGTTCCGACACAACTAGCTACAGGATTTAGGCAGCCATTTAGACAACCAAAATTTTCAAGATAATTATATTAAACATAAACACATTAAGATTATAACTACAATGCATTGTTTGACTTTATTATTTATGAAACTGTCTCAAAATAATACTTTGCATATTGTAAACAAATCTATTTTTTGCAGTATTTATTTTACTTTTACCAAATGTTGCTAGTATGGCATTAGTTGCAGCATTTATGTTTTAATTCTATATTTAATATGAATGTCAGATAAATAGCTTTTTTTCTAATGGTGTTTTTAAGCTGTCTGCAGAGATAAGCACCACCCTTTGGCATGTAGCATCAGAAATAATCAGGGAGTGCACATTATTGCGGTAGTGCTTTCTTGTGAAGCGTTTTCTACGACATGGGGACTAAAAATATAGATAAAGTTCGGTATGATTCGAAAATAAATTATGCAAATGCAGCTCCATGCAACTATCCTCACCAACATTTGTCATAGGATCTCTGATCTCCAGCTGGAATAAGGAAGGTAAAACAAGTCTGGGGAGGATGGTGAAGGTGACTAAAAGTTTTGCTGAACAGCCATCAGGATTATGCGTTTTAATGCGTGGTGGAATTACTGTTCTTTTTTTTAATCTTATGCATATTTTTTTATCGTAATGTGTTGGTTCTAGATATCTTTTATCCTATTTCATGTTGGGATTCCTTTTACAGGTTTTGCAGTACTCTGGCCTGTGATTGGCTAAAGAAAAGAACTAAACTGTACAAAATCAGTGATCAAAAAATTAGCCAGATTGTTTTTAAGAACTTACTTACCTAATTAATGAATTGTCACTGGGCTTTTATAATTTACTCATGTTCTCTTTGTCTGAGATCAGTATTTGTTTTATAATGTCAAATATTAAAGTAACAGAAATGCAACGACAAAAGAACTTTAGGAAATACTTTAAGCCTTTGTTCTTTATACATGTGTTGTTTTCTATCTTTTACACTAATATGCTAAATGATGCCACCTAATAGCTGGTCCAATCTGTTGTACAATATCTGCTTTGTGTTGAAATTATTATTTATTTTTTTTATTTAGATCTTAAAAGGAGATGAGAAGTTCGATGTACTTGCATTTGTTCCTTCTCAGATACCTCAAATGTTTTCCTCTAGGTTTCCATCTCTCCATTCTGCAGCTTTCAGACTTTTAAAAATAGTGTTTCGATAAAGAAATCTCAGACTTATGTGCTTCATAGAAGATAAAATGAATCCCAAAATATTATTTGTGGAGGATTTCCATAAAACAACCATCTAATCAGTCTGAACCATGAGCTGTCAGATGAAGGGTTTGTTCTCTCAAATGAATATTTGCTGAACAATACAACTTTAGACCCTCATTTTATCAAAATTAATTCCAGAGTCAGCAAAAATGAATACAGATTGGAGAGATGTTTGAACACATCTGTTTTATTTCTGTCATCTAAATGTTTGGCCTCTCCTGAGGTTTCACTCTGCCATACATGGCAGAAAATAACCCCCACGCCTTCTCCTTCACAACCATGCTCTATGCAAAAAGCATCTCTGTCTATAAAAGAAGTCTTTGTTTTCATTTTTACTAAGTCACTATCAAGGCCTGATTCTCCATGTGGTTGTCATCAACTTCCTAGGAGACCCTGGCTCTAAAACTGTGCAGCATTTCTCAGTAAACATGTTTCTGTCATTTTTTTAGTTATAGAGTTATATAATATATAGGACTCAAATATAATCTTTATTTTTCCCAGTGTACTTAGAACCCACTCACTCAGCCCCACTGACAAAGTAACAGTCGAAACTGAAAGCTGCGCATTTTCCCATCTTATGGGTCATATATATATATATATATATATATATATATATATATATATATATATATATATATATATATATATATATATATATATATATATGTCCAATGAGAAACTCTGTAGGTCCATAATGGGTTTTGATCAATTTTCAGCTTTCAGAAAACCAATACCTCATCTGAAAAAAACCTCCGCCTCGTGTGTGGTCAGTTAATCCACTGGATGGCAGATCACATTTACATGGATGTAACTGACTGACTGGAGGCCATATTTAAATGGAAACTTCTGGATGTTTAATTTTGGGTTGTCTTAAGCCCTTAAGTAGTATTTTTTGCAAGCAGAAATAACAGTAAAAAAAAAATAAATATGTGTACAGACAAAGAAAATGGGAGAATGGAGGTGGTGCGCCAACAATAATCTTCCTGGTTGCAACGTGTGCTGACAATAGAACATTTAAAGAGATTTGGGTCTGAGTTACTATATTCTACACAATGGTGTAAATATCGGTAAGCAGAGACTGCAGTTGCTTATGGGCCCCGTCACTGACACTAGGTAGGCCCCCCCACGCAATTGTGGACTAGGACCACCTGATATTAAGATGACTGACCGTACCATATTTATACCCCAACACATGGCAGATTTCAGCATGATGGTGAGCTGTTTAAACATGACACCAATAGCAAAGCAGACAGTGGTACTTTTAATTACTATGATAATAACTGTGTATAGTTCATTAGAGGGTTAGTAAAAAATACACTCATATAATATGTTTCAAACCGCAATAAAGATCTTAAAAGAACGATGTATTTGAGTATTTTACTTTTTACACTACTTGGAATTATGGGTAATCCAGAGGGTAGATTAAAACCATAACCGTTACGTATGAAACATTTATTTTATATTTTGAAATCCAAAATAGTTCAAATAAATCTCACTGTTGGTTTGATGATCTTTATGAAATGTATTTTAATTCTTAATTTAAAATGTCTGGAGGAAAACATGGTCCAGTGGTTTTAGTTTGAACTTTTTTGGTAAATTGTTAGATAAATATTTAAACAGAAAATACATTTGATAAAGATCATAAAAAGGGGAACAGATTATTTCAGTCAGCTAAAATAGATGGTTCCCCTCCTTTAATTTTGGCAAATAATGCACACATGTCAACAAATCCACATGATTTGTTGTTGGTGAAGAGAGGAATAAGCACAGTTAAGGAATTGATGCCCCTGATCTCCTAGAATCCTAGATCCGCCCCTGACAGCGAGTAAAGATTGCGACCAGGTGAATAGAGAGAGCGTGGGTGAGGAGAGGGCTGTGAAGCTACTACAGCTAAAAATAAACTACGACTATGATGAGTTTTATAATCGTTGTTCAAGAAATTGTGTACTTTCCCTTTAAGAGCATTCTTCTTAAGTAAATAGACTGTCGGGATGACCAGACAAGTCCTTACAAGCCATCCTACCTGTGGTGGTGCAATAATAATAATAAAAAAAATACAGTTGTGCACCTATGTTGCCTTGAAAAAAGGCCGAAAAAAAGATTATTCCTGTTCGACCGAAAGATGCAAATGCACAGAATGAAAATACATTCTTCAAAAAATACCCAAAGAGTTTATCTAGAATGCAGGGCATTTTAATAAGTTTTCTATTAAGGTTGAGTTACAAAACCGGTGAAACCAGTAACAACAGGTGAAGGTATTTTTGCTTCCTCTTTTCCTTTGAATTTAAAACCCAGGCGAAGAATCACCTTTCATTCTGCTCATATTTTACCCCTAAAAGCCTAATTATTTCCCAAATTAGAGCATCCTGAACACAAAATGGTTAAATTAATTACAATCCATCAGCGCAGCATTACCCTTACGACATGAGTTTTAGTAAAAGCGCAGAAATTGTTTTGTTTGGTTGAAGGTTATGATCCCGGCCTCAACAGCGTCAAAATGAAACGGGATGAATGACAGGGGGAACAATGGGGCTTTAATTGATATCCAGATGCGTAGGGGCAGCCGGAGGCTGCCGCGTGAACACAAGGAGGAGGCGAGAACCAATCAACAAGCAGATACGGATGCACCTATCAGGTGGCAGGAAGATTCTAGAACAGCCGCTCATTCATTCATGTGAAAACACTGCGCATCCTTATGTCTCTCATTCAAACAACACTTTGTTTTTTTACAAGAACTTACCGTGCGCAGCCGGAGCGGACATATTTTTTTACAATTTAAAAACGTTTGTTTTTGTCTGAAACATTGAGTTGTTTTAACTCTGACGTCAGCGTAGCGATATAGACATATGGTAGGCTTACTTAAATGAGCGCCTTCTTTATTAAAACTGTTAACCGCGGGTGTAGTTTAGATGGATTAAACCTAAAGAAGAAATGTTGTACATATACTCACCGGTTGCAGGGAGAAAACACTCAACAGACCCGCGGAAACGCACCACTCCACGCCCCTTAAAGTGGATTAACAGGAAGAAGACGCTCAGTCCGCCTAGAAAGAGATATTTCTTTCTTTTGAGTTTATCTTTTTTCTTGTCAAGGAGGCTTAGATGTCACCCAAACTAATCGGTGTCATCATTTTTGCAGAGTTCCGCTTCTTATGTGATGCTCCGTCAGACAATGATGCCCTATCACCCTCCCACTCCTTATAGCCACCAATACAAATCCACGCCCCACACGTGGAGCCAACCCGTGACGTGTTGCAGAGATGCAATAAAAACGCCTAGAAGTTGCTCCAGCTAATTACCGGTATTAACCCACATGATTATATAACTTTAATGAAACAGGCCAGGTGAGTTTTAAATGGCTCTCATCCAAGATATGGAAACATGGAGAGGAAAAGAAACTCAGCTTTGCATCTACTAATATAAATTGTATTTTGTTTGAATGAATAAAGCCATTTTACCTTAAACCCCTTAATTAGAAATAGAAACTTTATAAATCTAGTAAATAAAGAGAATCTGATTAATGGAAATAATATTGGTTTTATTCAAATAAGTATTTTAATAATACCTTATAATTGCACAGGAATGTACAATATTTTAAATAGTCCTTAAACAAACTAGAATACTTCAACTTAATAAATAATTTTCAAAACATACAGCCACCCAAGACACAAAGGTAGCTTCTTATCCTGCAATAATGCAGTAATAATAGGCCTATCTCTGAGCTGCTTTCAGCTCAGGAACCAACCAGAAACACTCCTTCTGGCCACTGAAGACTGACACCTAATCTGATTTGGAGCCAGTGTTTGGAAAAATCCAGAATCAGACAATTAGTGCATGTTGTATTAATAGTTGTGACTTTTACAGGAGTTTCACATTTTAGCTGGGACTTTTTAAAGGCGTATAATTGGCATATAACAATAATAACATAACAGTTTTTTTTTTTGAGGTAGTTTGTCTTTTTATTGTGTGTTACTACAAAACAATTTCTTTCATTCCAATACCAACTTTGTGTGATCCTAGAAAAACATACCGTAGTTTTTATTGTTGAAGCTTAAAATGACATATTTTATTTATTTGCAAAACAGGGAAATAAAGGTTATTTGCTTCTATTTAATATGATGTGTCATTTAATGTAAAATATTGTCTTCTGCATTATTCATTGCTATTATATTTTTTTTCAAGTTTTTTTGTTTTGTTGTGCTTTTTTTTTTTTTTTTTTTTTTTTTTTTTTTTTTTTTCTTTTCATTTTTTGCTGCGGATGGATCTTTAAAGGTTTGTGTCAGAAAGACTGGCAACCAAACTGATAAACTGCACAAAAAAAATGCTTTCAGGCCCTCTGGTTGGCCTTCTTGGCCTGCTACCACAGCTGC